GGTGAGACGTGCCTCTACAAGGCCCCTTTCAGCCTTTTGTAGTGCTAGTGCAGTGAGATTTGGGACCTTCCTGCTCAGGACTAGTTAGTTAGCAGGAGGAAAGGAGATTGGGCACAGGGACATTCTGTCCTTCTGAGGTCTGGAGCTGCCATTCTTTGGCCCCTTGAATGTTTCGGGAACTGGATAATCATGATGTCTCCTACCCCACTCCCACAAGATCCTTTTCTGTCCTTTTACAAATGAGGAAACACATCAGGAGGTCAATTAACAGGCCTAAGGTTACTTAAAGGTCAGATATACTGGAGGTGAGGCTTCGAAGCCTGGTCCCTTTGGTTCCCAAGCCTGTATGAGCTTCGTTTTTAAGGATACTAGATGTTCGAACGTTTGGAGCAAGCTCAGGCTCGTTTGCCAGCATTTAAGTCCTGGCACCAGCATGTTGCCTTCCTACGAGGAGTGAGTTCAGGACAGAAATGTTTGTATGCTCTGAGGATGTCAGAGGGAGCCCTACATCTAAGAACTGGGGTTGCAATCTGGAGCCCCAGGCTGGTGCCCAGGCAGACAGCCTTTCAGGATCCTCCCTCTGCTCTTGGACTGCAGCACCTAAGAGGCCCTACCTCCACAGGGCCAGGCTTAAGGTGGCAGAGCCTCCATTTGCTCCTGGTGGCTTGGCCCTCTCTTCCTGTCCCACTTGGCCACACCTGGGCCGGGCCCCTGGTTCCTTTGCCTGTCTGCCTTCACCCTTCGTGTGGATGGGTCACTGCTTTTTGAGCAGGACAGTGTGCTGGGCCTGTGTACTTGTTAAATAAACATCCTTACAAGAGACAGCAGAGACTCAGCTGGTACAGGGAAGAGTCCTAGTCTTCACCCAGAGTTCTCTGAGTCTATCTATGGTGTCAGTTACCCTCAGTGGATCCTGTTGCTTGGTTTTTTGGGAGGGTTAATTTTTATTTTTATTTATTGTGGAAAAAGGTCTTGCTGTGTATTTCAGACTAGTCTTGAACTCATTAGAGAGCCCAGGCTGGCCTTGCATTCATGGTGATCTTCTTGCCTCAGCCACCCAAATGCTGGGATTGGCAGGTGTGTACTACCACACCCAGCTAATACCTGTTCTTGGGAACAAGGTTCCTATAGCCCTCCATCCTGTCCCCTCCCCTTCTCTGTGTTCCCAGTGAGGAGCCCCCAGGGGAGGCAGCCCAGGCTGTGGTTGTGAGCGACACCCTCAAAGACGCGGGCACCCACTACATCATGGCAGCTGATGGAACCCAGCTGCACCACATTGAGGTAGGCTTGGCGTAGCCAGCACTTTCTTACCTCCCCGAACACCTGCCCCACCTCTGCATCTTCTCATACTGCTTGGTCTCTCCACAGTTGACTGCAGATGGTTCCATCTCCTTCCCCAGTCCGGATTCCCTGACCACTGGAGCCAAGTGGCCCCTGCTACAGTGTGGGGGAATGCCCAGAGATGGCTGTGTGCCCCCATCTCCAGCCAAGACCCACTGGGTGGGGGACCCCCCGAGCTCTTCCTCCCCACCTCCTGCAGCCAGCAAAGCCCTGGGCCTGGTAGTGCCCCTCTCCCCACTGTCTGCAGCCAATGCTGCATCAAAGAAATTTTCCTGCAAGATCTGTGCCGAGGCTTTCCCTGGCCGAGCAGAGATGGAGAGTCACAAACGGGCCCACGTAGGGCCTAGTGCCTTCAAGTGCCCTGACTGCCCCTTCGGTGCCCACCAATGGCTGGAGGTCCGGGTAGGTGCCACTCCTGCCATGCCTCTTCTGTCAGCCAGCCAGCCACCCATTTGTATACACCCTTTATTGGGCAGCCCACCCCTTTCTAGGGTTGGAGATGACTCAGACCTCAGGAAGCTCAGTCTAGGCAGGCAGCAAACCAGACACGAGTGTGACTAATGCCAGTATCCTGCGGGTGAAGGCAGTGTGCAGGGCAGAGAGCACAGACACGCAGAAAACAACTCATTGGACTTGGGGTTACTGAGGAAGACACCAGAGGAAAGGCTGGATGGTGGAGCTGGGTCTGTAGGAGCAAAGGCACTGCGGGCGTGATGACATGAGGCATGGGGAGAAAACTCAAGTTTTCTAGAATACTGAGGCACAGAGGTTCACGGCCAGCAAGTGGTATGGTGAGCCAAGTGGGCCAACTACTGGTCCCTCCTTGGGTTCCCTCCATTGCCTGAGGGTTTCTAGATCTGACCACACCCTACACCCTCAGAGCTCAGATAGGAAGACTGAGGCCCATTAGGCAGTACTAACCCTAGGGTATCAGAGGTTGTCTCATCAAGCATCTGTAAGTTACTTCTGGCTACATGGGGTGAGCTGGGACAGGACTTCACAAGCGACCTAATGGCAGCTCCTCTGGGTTAGCACGCTCAGGCCGCAGCATCAGCAGTCTTGACCTGTTTGTACTTTTTGCCCAACTCCTCACACATGCAGAGTTTTGGATTCTCTGGGTCTGTGTCACCTGACCAGATGGCTGTAGGGATCTAGGACTTGCTGCCACCTGTGCTGACCCAGGTGGTAGCCCTGACTGCCTCTCCTGCAGGCTCACATGGCACAGCACTCGAGCCTACGGCCTCACCAGTGTAGCCAGTGCAGTTTCGCCTCCAAGAACAAAAAGGACTTGCGGCGGCACATGCTGACCCACACCAATGAGAAGCCTTTCTCGTGCCACCTCTGTGGGCAGCGGTAAGGCCAGCTGCTGGGCAGGGACTGCTAGACATGCTTAGTGGAGCTGTCTGTCCTAAGCCTCCTTCCTTCCTCCCTCCTCAGTTTCAACCGCAATGGGCACCTGAAGTTCCACATCCAGCGGCTGCACAGCCCCGATGGGAGGAAAGCAGGAACCCCTACAGCCCGGGCCCCAGCCCAGACCCCCACGCAGACCATCATCTTGAATAGTGATGAGGAGACACTGGCCACACTGCATAGTGAGTTATCGCAGGGTGGGCACCAGCGTTGATCAGAGACTTGAGCCACTGCCCAGAAGGCACCTGTGGGCTTGGGCGTTCAGGGTCTCATGGGAACCCTGAGTGAGCATTGTCCCCTCTCTGCCTAGCTGCCCTCCAGTCCAGTCATGGGGTCCTGGGCCCAGAGCGGTTACAGCAGGCATTGGGCCAGGAACACATCATTGTGGCCCAGGAACAGACTGTGACCAATCAGGTAAAAACCAGAGTTGGGGGTCCTGCAGGCAGGTCATGACCAGATGGGGGCAGACAGCTGAGGCTAGAGCTGGCCTGTCTTTGTCAGGAAGAAGCCACTTATATCCAAGAGATCACCACAGCAGATGGCCAGACAGTACAGCACCTCGTAACTTCTGACAACCAGGTGAGCTGCTCCTCAGCCTTGCCCTCCTGCCCTCCGTTCTTGCCAAGGCCCCACCTTGGAAAGAACAGTACTTTCCACACTGCCCTCCCAGGGTCCATGCTTGCGCTGCCACTGCTGGTGGGTACCCCTGGCCCTCTACTCCATTTTCTGAGAACTCAGTGAGTGGAACCCAGCAGCTGCCTCCCCCAACCCTTCTTTAGGTACAGTATATCATCTCTCAGGACAGTGTCCAGCACCTATTGCCCCAGGAGTACGTTGTGGTCCCTGACGGCCATCATATCCAGGTAGGCCAGGCCTGGGTAAGATGAAGTTTTGGGAAGAGGGCAGCACCACCTCCTTCTGGGATTATAGATTGGATTCCTCTCTCTAGGTACAGGAGGGCCAGATTACACATATCCAGTATGAACAAGGAGCCCCATTCCTACAGGAATCCCAGGTAGGGCACTTGGGGGGCCAGAGAGGGCTGGGGCACCAAAAGGCTCCTCCAGGGCTCCTCTCATCAGCTTCTCCCCTCCAGATCCAGTATGTGCCTGTGTCCCCAGGCCAGCAGCTTGTCACACAGGCTCAGCTTGAGGCTGCAGCACACTCTGCCGTCACAGGTATGGTGCTGGACCTAGATCACAGGGGCAGGGGTCAGGCCTAGCTCTTAGGGCCTTGGGCTTACTGCACTTTCTCCTCCCTGGCAGCAGTGGCTGATGCTGCCATGGCTCAAGCCCAGGGCCTGTTTGGCACAGAGGAGGCGGTACCTGAACACATTCAACAGCTGCAGCACCAAGGCATCGAGTACGACGTCATCACCCTGACCGATGACTGAGCCCAAGGCTCCATTGCAGATCATGGATATCAGGCCAGCTCTCCTGGGGTAGGGGGACTCATCTCCCTCTCCCACTTAGGTCCTCCAGATACTGGGCAGCCAGCTCCTGCCCCTACAAGGGAGACAGACCTGTGCTCTTGGGTCTGGGGGGAAAACCATGGGCCCCAGCCAGGACATGCTGGGTGCCCCAGCCTGCGGGCAGGCTTCAAGAGAGAAATTTATTTTTGTTTGGATGGACCCACTGGCCCCTTAGTCTCAATAAAGGGACCAGAGTCCAGCCAGCCCTGGCCAGCTTACTTTGTCCACTTGGTAACAGTATGAACCAGACAAGGACAAAGGAAGCCAAAGGCAGAAGCCTCAACAGCCCAACACAGCCTGGGTCTGCAATGCAGCTGGCACTGCCTGTGTAATACAGTGGTCCAACCTCAGGGCAGTACCCTGGTGCAGACGCCCCTCTCCTAGGTGAGAGCTGAGCTGGGTAAAGGGTGCCAAGTACCTCCAGACCCTGCTGCTTCCCCAAGATGTCATGCCTAAAGGTTCTGAGAACAGGTGCTGCACCTTGAGGCCCACGATGGCTCTGAGGCTGCCCCGAGCCCAGCTGCCTGCTCAAAGGCGTGGCTGGCCACAGGGCACTGTTACTGGCCCTCATCTCCAGAGGTACCTGGGCTGGCCCAGCTGTGGGAGTCTGGCACTAGATGATGCAGCCCATGGACTCCTCCAATCTGGTGAGCACAGGTGGAAACCACCAGGGACCTAGTCATGTGGGGTCTCTGGGATGTGGTCCAGAAGCCCAGGAGTCAGAAGGTGAGCCTAGGTATGGAGCTCAGTGATCCAAAAGTAGCTCCAGGTTTCTCAGCCTTCTCTTCCTCAAGATCCTCAAGACATTCTTAGGGGGGGTTATGTATTTCCTTTTACAAATGAAACAAGGTGGCAAGAAGGTCAGTGTGGGGTTGGGAAGGGACTGGGCCTATTTACAAAGGACTTACATTGAGTCTGAGGTGGGACATGGGGAAAGAGGCAGGGAGGGGGAGCCCTGGCAGGGCCATAATATTCCTATGTCAGTGGCAGCCCAAGTCCTGCTGCCAACCCAGGGGAGAGTCCTGGAGTTCACTCCTCCTCCAGAAGCCTGAGTCCCAGCAGTCCATAAGAGCACCCCTGGGGCTCCTCCTCCCCACAGGGTACGTTAAGTTGGGTGAGGCTCGTGGCTAGGGCCCTGCTCGCGGCTAGAGTCCCGGTCCTTGGCCTCTGAAGAGGATGAGGAGGAAGAGCTGGAGCCATGGCTTCGGCCTGACTGCCGGTAAGCGGTGTTTAGCTCCTGCAGCCGCTCAGGCGTCGGCCCCCACTTGGCAAAGCCAGGGTCATTCTGTAGGAAGAGCACGGCCGTGTTGTGGACAGCCTTGTAGTGCATTTCCTCCCTGCAGACAAAGGTGGCTGCTCAGGGTGGGGCCGGGCCTGGGCCTGGCCTGAGCAGCCTGGCCTGGCCAGCCCGGCCCTCCTTCCCCTGCCCAGCCCAAGCACCCACTTCTTGCACACATGCTGAGAGCCACTGCGGTACTCATGCTCAAAGGCGGGCAGGACTAGCTGGTGGCGTTTGAAGCGGCTCTGCTCCATGCGGGTGAGCGCTGGTGTGGGGGGTTCCCGCCACTCAGGGATGAATATGATGAAGGACAGGGGCTCCAATGAGCTCTCCAGCAGTTTCTGTGGAAGGAAGCATAGGATGGACATTGGGGGCTGCCCTCCAGCTGGTTGGCAATTCTCCCTGCCCCCAACAAAGTGAGAAACCCAGACCCACCTCAAAGTGAGAGACCATAGCATCCATGAGCTCCTCGCAGAATGGAGGGTTGGCCTCAAAGGAACCACTCAGTGGGGCAAAGTCCAGGCAGGGCCTGAGGGCGAAAGCAAGCATTCTAAGACCCTTTAGGACCCAGTCCCTCAATCATAAATGGATGCCCCTCCACCCTTAAGCACCTATGCTGAAGATGGCTATGGTTAGGCTACAGGGTAATATTCATCCTTATCTGTCCTGGGACAAAGAATGACCAGGTCCACTGAATGGATGAGGACAGAGGCTCAGGCTCGGATGCCCTTGTCCACCAAGCTGGAGGAGCTGGAGTTCACATTCAGTTATGAGCTTGAAACCAGCACAGCACAAGTCACACCCAGGACTCCCTCAGCTGCTGAGCTTTGGGCCTCTTGACACCCTGGCCACCTCTCTTCCTTCTGTGGACAGCTTATCCTCTTTCATCTGTGTTCACCCCCACCTACTAGCTGACTGTGAGGTCTCTGAGGCCCGTGTTATACTTCTTCCTCCCCAATGCCTGCGTCAGAGGATCCTATTCCAAACCTAGGCTAATTCACAGGGAAAGTCCACAGGCCATTAGGAGGTGTCACATGCCTGTCCACACGGCCAGAAAAGCTGAGGCTCCCAGAGTTTAAGTGACATGTCCAAGGTCACATGGCTGGTAAGTGGTGTACACAACTAGCCCCAAGACTGCCTATCTCTAAAGCCCTAAAACATCAGGAAGGAGCAGGCTGATACGACTTAGGCTGTGGAGCATCCCACACACGGGCAGAAGGGGGCCACCAGCCCCTGGCTCTCACCCGCGGGAGCCGAAGTAGCCATCTGTATCAGGGAAGGCAGAACAGTACTGGCGGAAGTAACAGTTGAGAGGTGAGGCGAAGCACTCGAAGCTGACGCCGAAGAGTCGATGGAGGGCCTCAAAGACGTGCACAGGCAATGACCCCTGAAGGCCAGTCCCCTCATAGAGGCCCACGCCAAACATCATCTGCAGAGTGGCCACAGTCAGCATTAGGCTGAACCTCCCTACATCCCAGGGGAGCCCTCCTCCTGCTGACCGAGCCCTGTACCTGGTACCGTCGGAGAAGGCACCAGACCCGGGGCAGAAACCTCTCAAAGACCGAGTCGTCAATGCAGCTGTAGCGGTAAAGGAGCCACTGTAGGACAAAGTGCTGGCTGTAGGAGTGGTCCCTCATCACTGGCCACATGCTTCTGCACTCAAGCAAAACGCCAGGCCCCAACCTGTGCTGTCATCTAGGCCCTCGTCCCTACAGCCCTTACCAGCTTGCTGAAGTAGTTGCGGCTGACCTTGACCATTTCTCCCTTGTACCGGATGCAGACCATGCTATTCTCCATGTGCATCTCCACACTGGGCATGGGGGGTGCAGGCACAGCCAGTCGCAATGGATAGCAGTATACCAGACGAGGGTCCACCTCATGGGCTTCCACCTCCTCTGTGGACAGAGACAGTAATGAGGGCCACTCAACCAGACAGCCTCAGCATCTACTATGTAACCACGTGCCTTATAGAGAGGAAGTGTCATTCTACACATCGGTAAACTGGCTTGAACCAGTTCATTACAGAGAAGACAAAAGGCCATTAAAAACTAAATGAAACCACCAGGCAACTGTTTGTTAGGGCAGAAATGATGGCCTGTGTCCACATGCCCAACACTGAAGCTGACCTCGTCTGCCATGCCTTGGGGCCTGGTAGATAAGTAGGCTGAAGCCTTTGGGTGTTGCTGCGAGCAAAAGTGTAGCTACACTGCTCTCCTGAGTTACAATACCTTATATGGGGATGTTTGGGGGCCAAGCTGTTGAGTTATGAATAGTCAAACAATACTCATGGTCAGGTATTATACCTCATTCAGGAGAAAATGAGTCTTCCAGAGAATTGTTTAAGACCAGGCCCATCTACTTATTACTGGCCTGTCTTTCTCCACCAACTTCTGACTCTCCTTTTCTCATCACTTCTTCCTGTTTCCCAGAATAGTGCGGGACTGACTTAGCCAAAGGACACAGCCGGTTTGGCCAAACCAATCCTGGCTTGAAGCTCACCGTCCTTTGTTCCTTCAATCATGGCCTGGGATACAGAATTTATGACTTCACTGCTGGCTCCCCACTACCTTGCCCCTACCTGGAATGTTGTTTTCCTTGAGGATGGCCAGGTGCTTCTCTCGGATCCGTTTGACATACTCCAGGGAGATGTGATAGATCTTACTGCAGATGCCTTCTACAGAATCCTTGGCTGCAGCTGACACATGGGGACCACACTGCCTCCGCAGGTGCTCTAGGCGGTCCTGGAGAAAACTCCTGATCAGAGCACTTGTAGAAGCGAAAGGGCCTCAGCAGGGTAGCAGATTAACTACAGAGTTTCAGCAGCCTTCATTTTAAAACTGGCTGTGCTACTTACTAACTGTGTCCCTTGGCCTAATCCCTTGGCTTCTCTGAATCTTATTCAACTGTCAAGGGAACATGAGACACCTAACAAGACAGTTTAAATATTAAATGCAGTCATTCTTTCAGGGTTTACCAGGCCCCTGGCATACAAGTGTGTCCAGTAATTGCCAAGAGTTTTTGTTGGACTTGCACTGTGATAGATTCCATGATAACTACTGGAAAAACACAAGCCAGGCAAGGTCCCCAGCTAATATCATTTGCAACCTATCAGGGACAGGTGATTACAACACAGGGAGATCAGAGAGCTCAATCGGTGCAGGCATAAATAAAACTTAAGCTTTTAGTTACTTGCAAGGATGCCTGCATGCATTTGTAATTTTGCAGAATCACACCTGTGAAACTAAAGAATGAAAGTGAGTCACACTGGCTCGTGAGTCCACCTACATTTGTCACTCTCTACATGCCAAGTACAGTTACTATCATGAAGTACAAAACCTTGTCACTTGTGAAAAATGGTCCTGAAAAGTCCATTGCTAGTGCTGGTGGAGAGGCTTAAGAAGTGATAGGCTGGGCCAGGGATTTAGCTCAGCAGTTAGGTGGCCTGACTTGCAAGTGCAAGGACCCAAGTTCAATCCCCGGTACCAAAAAAAAAAA